TCAATACGAATTGAAGCGCTAAGTAAAAGAAATGTCTCCGTATTTGGATAGAATAAAGCAAACTCATGGGAATATCGTTTAATAGTAATCTTTTATTTTAGCATCAACAAAATTAAGTGATAAACGAGTTCATCAATTATCTGTAATTTCAAATGGTGAATTATTAATAACATTAGCTGGAAAACAACGTACAATACGTCTTCAATCACTTAAATCATTAATTGAACATCCATTATCATCATTAGATAGTAAAATAATTGAAACAAAAAATTCTACAACATTTGCTATACATTCAATATCATTAATATTATGTGTTGCTATTAAAAATCGTATACTTGTTTATCAATTATTTTCAACACCAAAACCATATCATTATTCATTTATAAAAGAATTTAATATAATACAAAATGTAACATATTTAGAAATATCAACAATTAATATAAATCAAATAGAACAACAAATATTATGGTATGGATATCCATCAACATTTGTTGCACAAAGACTTGATCAACAATGTCCAAGTGTATCATTATTACGAGATGAAGATCCAACATTACAATTTTTTCGAGATAAACCTATTGAAGCATTACGTGTTGTACCTGTTACAAGTAAGTATAAACAGCAAAAAAAAAGGAATAAACAATAATTTATATATTACATTAGATAACATTTGCCTTGAAAATAATTGATGTCATCTGTCATCATATAGTAATTTAGAAAGAGGATGACATATAATGATAATAAAATGGATGAGGTCTGAATTTGACAGAATCTGGGTGCACGTTTTCTAATCATGAGATGATTTTGCTTAAGATTATAGTAAATTCAACTAAGAAATGATCTTCTTCTCTTCGAATATCTCGATATTTTTGCACTTAATCATTAAGTCTTTTTTTTTCTAAAATTCTTTTTAGATTCTTCATCAATTAACGAACTTTTACTCGTATTTCGTGAATTAGGAATTTATGTAAGTTGTTCAACAGGAATGAGAACACGTCATAGAGAATTAATGTGGACAGCATTACCAATATCAACTGCTTTTTCTGATCCATATTTACTTATATATACTGAAAAATCAGTTGATATATATGATGTACCATCAGCAACATGGTTACAATCATTACCATTATCACGAACACGTTCATTAACATCTGATGGTTGTATTTGTTTATCACATGATTCTGAACTTCTTAATCATCATTCAAAATTACTTTATCTTATACAAAAAACAAATTTAAATCCATTACTTAATGTTCCGGAACGTGCATCATCAAAAAGTTTAGCTACACGTGGTGGAAGATTTCGTGTTGGTAGTAGTGTTGTTGGTACAATTAAATCGACAACATCATCATCAATAGCACCTATATCAGGACCAAAAGATTTTACACATATATCACATTTAGGTAAAGGTGAAGGTTTACAAATAATATCAGGTTTAAAACAAGTTAGTCCAACAAGTACACTTTCATCAATAAATCATAGTAATAGTGGTTCAACATTAAATACAAATAATCGACGTTCACTTATATCTGGTCCACAAAATTTTGTTCATTTAACGTATGTTTAATTATTTTTTATATATATCTTTGATGAATACATTTCAAAAGCGTGAAATATTCTTTTTGGTGTGAATAGAATCATGAGAAAGTTTAAGATGCGCTCATTAGAGATTTACAGCATTTTATATCGATGTGCATTAGAGCGCGAGATAAACTAATCTATCAGTATAAATTAATTAAATTCTAAATATAGATAACACTCAAAAGTTTGTTGAGGGAAATAATCTTATACTCGGAATCTTACTGAACCATTGAATTAAAGTGTACAGCAGATATAAAAATTGTTATTAGTTTTGATTAATTTATTTATATGACATTTTTTAAGATTTCCCCCTACAGTCAAAATTTGTGAGTCTCACATATTGCCTTCCTATGGGACAATACTAACAAGTTTTTAATTATATATATTTTTTTTTCTTCTTAAGACATATTGGTCCATCGGATATTTCAACATTTGCATCAGATTTATCAACAACAAATACAACAACAAATAAAGCTGTTATATCAGCACCAATGAATTTTCGTCATCAAGTACATATTGGACATAATGATGAAATTGATCAATTAAATAATACTAATAATTCGAGAAAAGGCGTTATATATGAACAACAAACGAACAGTGTCCCACTTAAACAACAACAACAACAACAACAAGTGACTAGTAGTGGTAATTCAACATTATCATCTCAATCTCTTTCATTTAAAGATGAAGATGATAGTGATCAACCTCTTGAATGATGATCTTATATTGAGAATGATAGAGACAAGAGGATTACTATGTATTCTTTTTTTTTTCTCTTGTCGGTCAGATTCATTCATTGCGAACTAATGAACTTCTTTTTTTTTTCTTCTTCATCTCTCTTTTTTTTTTTGTATTATCTTATTTGGCGTGCAATTTTTTACTTCCTTTTTTTTTTTGCTGTGTGGTGACCCATTTTTTGGTGCCTTTTTCTATTTCTTTGTGCACACATATATGATACTGAATTTCTTTTTTTTCCGTTGCACCTGTTATCATCATTATTATTATTATTATTATTGCTGAATCTGTAGTGAGTGCATGAACGAGTGTATGAGAAAAGCCGTTATTGACTTTTTCTTTTTTTTTTTGTTCTTACTTTTGTCAAGGAATTATCTTCTGCTTAATATGTGCTTGTTATCGATTCAATCATTAATGCTAAATGTACAGACATTTTGAAATTTATATAGTTTCATTAAAAGTTAAAAAAATCATGAATATTCTTGAAATTTAGTTAGTTAATCAAAAGATTATTTCAGAATGTCATTATTATTTAATATCTATACAAGACCACCTATAGAAATGCCAAGAATAAAAACGTGCTGATCATATCAAATTTTATGATAGATAGACGACAGGCAAATGTCAAGGTCGATTGTGTAAAGTTTTGATAAAAAGTTGTGTTGTTAAGACGTAATAATCATTATTATGAGATTTGTTTTTGTATAAACAATAACTAGAAAATTTTAATGATGTTTGAAATTTTTCAAAAAGATATTCATCATAAATTTAATTTCAAGGTGTCGGAAATAGAAAAAATTAAAGCGGAATTCCTTTATATGGTTAGATAGAGCGTAACGAGTTGAACAAGTATATATATGTTTTCAATGAGTTTCTAGAGAAAAATTGCAGCTTTTTTTCTCTATGACTTAATTTTTTTCAAAAAGAAGAAAAAGGCCAATGTTCGATACGTGCCAAACTGGCAATTTTTTCTTCCCTCTAAATTTAAAAACTGTTTGTTTCACACTCAGTGTGAAAAAAACAACGGACTTTAGAAAAGTCATTTATAAATAATTTTCCTAGAGTCAGTTTCTTATTATGAATCTAATACAAACAGTTTTGAAATTTGAAAGATAGAAAAAACATATTGACAATATACCGGTTATCGAAAATCGACGTTTTTTTTTTCGAGGAAAAGTAAGTCATCGGAAAAAAACAAAAATTTTTTTTACTCTAATACTTATTTCAATAAAATTAAAACATAGATAGACTTGATAAACTCGTTACACTCTATGTAACCGTATAAAACTATTTTTACATTTTCAGCACGTTATATATAAAGTTGTGACATGAGATTCTATCAATAATGGCAATTGGCTTTTACATGAATTAGTCTTGTTGAAGAAATAAATGATTCTAATCATTGTAAAACTAGACTTTTTAACGATTGTTTTGACAATAAAAATATAGAAAATTCTTCTTTTTTTTAACGAATAAACAATGACTGCAGGATTTATCCAAAAGAATCATACGATTTTTAGTAGAAATGATTTATCCTCTCTGACAAATTCAAGAAAATGTACTTTCTTGATAGAATAGCAAATATCATTTATGCTTATTTATGTTATGGCAAGTACATCATTCACAGAGACAAAGTTTTCAAACATTGTTACCTTAAGAATCATTAATCTAAATGACACAAGCAGATATTCATCAATTTTATTTTCTTATCTTAAATAGAATGTCAAGCTCAAAAATAAGGTTTTTTTCAGGAGATATCAAATACTCTTAAGAAGAAAATACTTTATCCATTTCTACATTCTCAAAGAGATGTGAAAATATGACTTAAGCAGATATTTTTCATTTTTCCATTTTTTAACAAAAATGAATTAAAGCATTTCTCTTTAAAAATAACGATTTTTTGCTTGAATTAAATGAGGATTATATGTTTATATTCTTTCTTTGCACTTCCTCTTGGAACGTATTAACTTCATGTGAAATGAAGCATTTGTTCGTTAACCTGTCATATATCTTCCTTGAATGATTCTATTGTCTATTGCTGTTGAAATTTTTTATCATCAGGATTTACATGTTGTTAACAAAAGTGCATGTTAAACAGATATTTTCATGTTCATTCACAATAAGACATTAACAAATCTTAATGTAAACGAAAATATTAAATTTTTCATTTGATTGATAAATTTAACGTTGAAAATACTATTTTTCTTAAATCTAGAGAATTGCATCGCAATCGAAAAAGTTTTTTTAACCTAATCAACGATTTATGAGTCATTCCATTATTTCAATTTATTAAAAAAATTTCTCAAAGTTTGGATCCGACAAGTCCAAGTGTGAAGACAGTTTTATTTTTGACTACAAAAAAAAACCTATTATCTATTTATAGGCATACAGTTTGATACAGCAAAAGTTTCCTTACAATATATACAGAGCGAATGATGTCATAACTTATAATTCTTTGATCGGGACTAGAAAAATTTTCTAAATTCGGTACAACTGTCTATGTATGTTAAATAGAATATCGAAAGACGTATTTTATAAGAACAATAAATAGTAAGAATTTATTTCACCTAAATTAACAATGAATAATATTGAAAATATAACTTTTTTATTTAATTTACAAAAAAAAAAAAAAAAAAGTTTATAATTAAATAAATATAAATTTAATTATTGTATTTTTTTTAAAATTAAAGACCAATTGTTTCTTGTAATAATGGTGTTGTTACTGATGGTGTTTTTGGATATTGTTGTCCATAATTAGAAAAATGAAATGGTGAATCACATAATCTTATAACATTTGTTGAAGAATTAAATGATGTTGAATGTATTGGTGAAGATGTTGTTTCAGAATTTAATATAAAATTATTTCGTAAATTATCATTTATAATTATATTTCGTTGTTGATTATTATCATTTTCTTTTATTAATCTTTGATTATTTGTTATATATATATGATTTTCGTTGTATTTTTTTCTTGTTTGTTGTAATATTTGTTCATTTGATATTGTTCGACAACAATATATATTTAAACATTCAATACGAAATAATTGTCCAAATACACAAAATGGTAAAAAATTTGTTGCTGCATTTATAATTGCAATTAAATTTGCAATAGTATGAAAACGTCTTATACTTGAACTTGATGATGAATCAAAAAAAATTTTTATTGTAAATTCAAATGACCATAATATCCAAATAACTATTGTTGGACTTCGACATATAAGTAATGTTAATACCATAGCAATAACAATAATTGTTACTGAATATTTTGATCGAAATGAACGTTGATGATGATTTGTTTTAATTGTATAATGTTTTTTTAATAGTTTTGTACGAGATTTAACATGATGTAATGTACGAATTAATTGTAAATTAAAACAAACAATTGTTATTGTTGGTAATATATAAACAAATATAGCATTAAAAAAACAATAAGCCCAACGATAAATTCTTCGTTTAGCTAAATCACTATAACCTTTTGTAATAAGTATACTTTTTCTTTGAATATCTATATCTAATAATGATAAAGATTCATTATCTAAATCAATTATTGGATAAAAATTTGGTGTTTGAACAACTTCATATTCAAAAAATAATGGAATTGAATAAAGAAATGCTATAATAAATAATGTTCGTGATATAAATTTTGCTCGATATAATGTACAAAATGTTTTACCATACATTGGATAACAAATTAATAACCAACGATCCATTGTTACTGCAGTTGATATCCATAATGATAATACACGACTACCAGCAGCTAATCCACCAAATATTATTTCAATATATCGTAAAAATATCATTATTGATGTATGTCGACAAGTTTTAACAATAAATTCAATCATTTGTATCATCATTATTGATATACATGTAATCATATCTGATAAAGATAAACCAGTTAAATAAACAAATGTTGATAATTGACTACTTAAACGATGTAAAACAATAACCGACATTAAATTACTAATTGAACCAAATATAGCAAATATAAAACTTGCAATTGATATCCAATAAGTAACAGGATCTGACGGTGATCTATTAATATTATGCCACATATCATCGATTTCATCTTGAGCCAACGTTAAATTATCTGATGATGATAAATTATTCATCTAAAATTCAAAATATTTTTCATCGTTTCAATTCTATAATAAAAAAAAAAAACAAAAACATGCTACATATCTAGACAATTAGAAATGATCTTATTTTGCTATAAGTACATATTGTTTTTTTTTTCTTAATCATCTTAGATCATAAAGAGAAAAGTCATGTTCTAAGTTTATGCGATCATATCTTCGGTCATGTGGTTTTAACCGTTGATTGTATCAGGATATTAAACCTTCAGAATTACATAATTATATTACAATACTCGAAGCAAAATTCTGATCGCATCACTAAAGGTATTCATAGAATATTTCATTAATAGAACATTCGCTCTTATGTATTATAAGTTATATCTATTATAGATATCATTGGTTAAATGAAAATTTCTCTAGTCAAAAGAGAATTCTCATAATCTTAAAGGGAAGCTCAATTTGAAATACTAGTCATAAGAAATAGTAGCAACTTAATATTGATAACTTTTTTCTTTGATTCTACAGGCGTAATTTTCTTTTGATGTTTAATATGGAAAAAAAAGAAAAAAAGTATCGTGTATAGTCGTCTTATAGTGTTACTTCCTTTAGTTATGCACTCATGCATAAACAAAATTACTTTCTATTTGACAAAGAGGAAAGACGTAGTTTCATGTTGATTGCATCCACTTTCTTACTAAATATGGATTAAAAAAAAAGCTTAAGCTTATGCAAAAAAAAGAAAAAAACTGTAAGACTCATTTAGAGTCAGACTGGCCCTATCTTAAAATATTATGATTTTTTTAGTATGTAAAAAAAAAAACGTCAAGGAGTTGAAAATGAAGAATAATAAAATTTTTGATTAGAAATGTTATAGATATTTAACATTTCTAATGAAAAGATGAATAAGATTCATGTTTTAAAGGTTAACATCATTATAACTACATATTTGACTATAATCTATTTGTAATCATATATAGTGTTTACCTTTTTTTTTGAGAAAAAAAAAAAATATATTCTCAGTTGGAATCCTAAAGAACAAATAGTTGTTCTATAGTTTCTTGATGCATAAGTCAAAGTGCTTTTTAATAATGATAAGAAGAAAAAAAAAAAAAGCTACTTCAATTATTTTATCAAATACTACTTATTAGATTTTTATTACTAAAGCTCAACAAAAGATAAATATTCGTGATTGATTTATAAATCCTCTTATAAAAAAAAGTCCAAATTAATTATGTTTATTTTCATGTCTTGGTATGTTAGTCCTTCACAGCTATTTTATAAGTCGATACTATTACACATATATTCTCTATCTAAAATTTATTATATTGAAACTCCTACGCACATCAACATATATTCTAATATGCCTAAGGCTCATATTTTAATTTTAATGAAATAAAGTCTTCAAAAAATAGAAAAAAAAAAAAAAAAGTTGAAGTCTATTGAACTAAAAATAATTACATACGTAAAAGAACATGATCATTCGCATCAATAAATAATCTCAAAATATTTAGCATCAGAAGAAAAAGGCATGGCTAGAAGTTTTTATTAATAAGCAAAATTAATCTGCCGGTCATGTTGATCTGTATTTTTAAAGTGACAAAGTAATGAATTGAAATGTATGTTTGACATACCAATAAAGAGGAAAAAAAAATACATAGACACATATATATAGAAAACTTATTATATCAAATATTTATCAAAATAACATTTCTAGTTAGATCAAAGAAATAATATTTTCTCATCATAATCATAAGACTTAACAAGTGAGGTGCGTCATTCTCTTTTTTTTTCTGTTTTCTTTTTAGTGATTATAATTGTTGTCTATCCCCGGAAGTAATGTTTTGTCTTTTCTTTCTTTGCAGCTAGTTTTTTTTTTTTCCATAGTACTGACGATGGCAATTGTTTTTCATCGTTACTAATGAGCTCCTTATTACTATCGCTCGATATGATTAACTCTCTTTTTTTAACCCGTCGAGTGTGCTCGGTTTTTTTTTTTCTTTTTATTAAAAAATACAAAAAAAGAAAAACGTAATCCCGATGAGAATTGATAGAGTTCAAACAACAACGCAATAAACAATAATTGAAAGTATATATTATGCATCTGATCAGTACTGAAATATTAACAGGAAGAATGTAGGAGTTCACTTTTAAAGATCGCGTGATTAGAATAACTGTTATCATTGATTATGTACAAAAGAAAATGTCGAAAAAAATCAACTTAATTATTGTTGAAATGTCGAGAAATATAAATTTGTATCAATAGAAGAAAAGAAAACGAAGTGTAATGTAAATAATATTGATGAATATAATATTAGTATATATATGAAGAAAATATTTTCTTATAAAAAAAAAAAAACGAACAACAAACGCAAAATAGATTGTTCAAAGAATATAAAATATGACCTAAATGAAAAAGAAAAAGTAGAGTGTGACATACACAAAACATTTTGCAATTAGATTGAGATAATTCTATAGATTTCTTATGATTATAGTCTTTTGTATGTGTATATTTTTGCTTTAGAGCCTATGTAATACGATCTGCATGAGGTATCAAATTATATGGGGTGTCTTTGACTTTCTCTTCAGGATATTTCAACAAAAATAATATAGGTTATTGATGTTTTGAAATGTTCTAATTAATTTCAAGGATGGTTAAAATTAAGTTCAACTTTATTTGGCAATCTATAGAACACAGTTTGTAATCATGTTTTTGTTGATTGTATGTCAACGACACGAGTTTAAATAAAGCCTTTCCTCACGTATATATATATATATTATCAATAAAATAAGAAAACAAGCAGGTTCTGTTCTATGGAAATGATCTCTCCATCTACTTCATATTGACTTGATTAATTTAAAGGGCATATTTTTTTTTTGCATCTTCTCATTTTATTTCGATTATAAAATTGTTTCTACAAAAAAAAATTTCTTAACAATAATTTAAACTTAGAAGAATGTAAAAAAACACAACAAGTGAGAATAAGTTATTTTTCGAAGACGTTAATAAAAAAAAAAAAGATTAATAAAACGTCATCAATAATGATGGTATACAACGTTATACAGATATGTCTGGAAAAACAAAGAGAACGTTGATGTTTTCTAATCATGTCTTCGTTCTATATTGATGTTGTTTTGGTGATATCTTTGCCATTTTTTTTTTGATGATGAGAACATAGATCATCAATCTGTGCCCTTCTATATGCACTATTTTTGTCAAGGACAAGTCAATAGTATTTACAAGTTTTTTTTTGTTTTTGTTTCTTATTTAAATTTCAATGATGGTAAGGATTGTCTAATAATGATTTGTCATTTGAAAACTTTTCAATCATAATAATGGCTTCTTTTTTTTTTTGCAATTAATTAGTATGTTTTCTTTTTCCGCCATGTACTCATTTATAATTCTACATATATATGATATCTTTAGTACTATCATTAAAAATAGAAATATTCTTGTGCTTACAGCTGTTACTATCTGATTATTTGTTACATCTATTTTTCTCATATTTTTGAAAAAAAAAAAGTACCATTAGCAAATTGAGGATGACAAACGCAAAATAATAAGTACTCATCAATATCGCGTAAGGTGTTTGTTTTTGTTGGTATTTTTTCTGTCGAGTACTGATGATTGTTTTTCTCGGAAAAATCCATAAACCGCAGGACACGTTCTCATTTGAGGAAGGAAGCAATATGGTTAGTGTATTCGAGAAGAGAAAATAATATGTTCCACTCATTTCTGTCTCTTTCTCCCTTTCGTTTCTCATGCCGATGGCACATTTGTTTGATAATGATATACCATCATCATCATCAAAAAAAAAAGTGCGATGTGTTAATGTGAAGGTTATATTTATCTAGATCTTTATTTGTGTTTTAAACATTGGTTTTATAAATTCATAAAAGTTTTTTTATCTGCTATTATTTTAATTTTGTTTTTGAATTATCAGATTTTTGTTTTCAACAATCTTATTTTTGTATTGGATAATGTCATTATCAACAAGAAATTATTCAAAAGAATCTCGTTCATCATCACAGTATTCGCGTTCATCATCATATCATACAAATTCTAATAATAGTTATAATTCTTCTTATGGTTATCGTTATTATACTAATGATCGTCCATTAAGTACACGTTTAATTGAACGAGATTTATCATGTCCATCACTTGCATTGGATTGGGGGGATTTTGATGATCCATTTTTTTTTGATCGAATTCGTTGGCGTTTTGAAAATGATTTTTTAAAATTAAAATCTGGATTAGGACGTCATATTCCTATTAGTTATCAAAGATGGATTAATTCATCATCAAGAATAATACCTATTCAATATATCCCATCATCAACTAATCGTCGTCATCAATTATATAAAAAATCTGATAATAATAATTCTCTAACATCAAGTTTTTCTAAACATCATGATGAAAATTCTATGAGTAAATATTATCTTATATAGTTAAAGAATTAATGAATTAATTATATATATATATATATATTTTAGTACGAGAAAATCGTATATCATCTGATAATTGGCCACCAAAATCAGGTAAATATATAGTTCATTACATAGTGAAATTATAATTTTTTTTTTTTTCTATTGAGAACCTCCAACTCGTAAACGAACAAGTATGACAATATATGTTCAACAACCTTGTAGGTGGTGTGATGTCAGCATGATTCTGTTTTGTTTTTTTTTTTCTTCTAACTTTTAGACAATGATTCTATTATAAATATCTATAATTTTTATATTTAGATATTGATCAATCAGAAGTACCTTATTATCGTCAAACACCTTCAACACCAACCTATCCACAATCAGCCAGAATGGACTATTATTAAAATAAACTTAAGAAAAAAGAACTTATTTTGTCATATCAATTCTATAGTATTTAGTATCAATAAACCTTGTTATTCTCTTCTTTTAACATTTATTACCCATGTAAAAATCTTTTCAAGATTTTACATATTGATTCATTCTTTCGATTGTAAAGATATCTTTTTTTCATCGAAATAGACAAGTGTCATACACTTGATTATGTCTATTCA